ATATTAGGCTTTTTTATGGTGTTCATCCTGATTTTATGGAACTCCATAATAAGTCGATGGGTAGGAAATAAATTTTCTACAATAGGCTGTTGGAGAAAGTTTGCTGGTATGTTTGAAAAATGTGTGTTTATGAACTGTAGTGTGGTTGTTGAATTGTTTAGTGTTAGATACCTGTTTGGTTGAATTTTGGGAAGAATATGGTTTAAGCGTTAAGGGGGGTGTGATTATGATGATTTGAATTAGTTTGGTCGGAAGATGGAGGGAAAGTAGATGCATGTGGCAAATGCGGTTTATGCACAAATTTTATCTGATGGGAATTTTTTGTTTAATTAAAACTAATAATACAATAAGTTCGATATATAATTTTAAAAAAAGTAGCATTTGCAGTTTGGTCTTTTACAATCAAGCATGCCTCCTCTCCCTGAGTTGGTCGTGGAGTGTTTCGGCATTGCTGGATGGAAAGGATTGCAGCTAAATGATTTGGACAAAATAGAAACAGATGACAAAGAAATTTCATTGATGTCGATGCTTTAAACTATAGAGTACTGAATTTTGTGTATAGATTATAGTCAATTCAAATATTTCAAAAAGGCAATAATTACATTTCATGTCATCTGGCAATCACAGTCAGGAGACGTCAGTGAAGCAATAGAACAAAACATTGTAAACCAATTACAAACGCATCATCCGGAGCCTTTTCCTCAGTCTGTCCACAGATCTATAGAACTGCATTGTATCTTTTCAGCTCTGGAACTCGGGCGTATTGCATTGTCCGGACGGCCTTCCCGAGGGCCAATTTCACTCGAGAGTCGAACAATGGTCCTTGCTTCGGCAACCCCGAGGCGGCCCATTAAAACCGACCATTTACCCGGATCCCCGGACCAGCCCAGGAGTAAGTTTCGACACACGGCCTTTTCTCCAGATTTATCGCCCTGTGCCAGAAATTAGTTGGGGGCCCGTAAATACGGCCCCAAGTTGCGTTCTCAACTTACACTTCCGCAATTTCCCCATAAGTCCTTTGCCGACAATCTTCTCAATCAAGAATGTCCAATTAACCCAAATTTTTCCTTCGAGTGAAGGAATTTCAATCAAACCGCAGTCGTGCATTCCGTGCACATAGCAAGGTGAGAGAGATGTTGCGGTTTCCTTGGAGATTTCCAAATATTTAGCGTTGCCTGAATCCTTGAAAAAAATGAAAAGAAAGTTTTTTTTTCTATTGGCTATTCGTAACACAGTTTGGATTATGAAGAAACACTCATTTTTGTACTGATGATTTCTCTGAAACAACCAATTTTTTTATTATTATTAGGAAGAAAACAATTTCAGGGATTAATATGTTACAAATGAAGCAATTGCGGATAAATTAAAATAGGAATAAGGGTCATAGTAGAAGCAACATTACTCTTAGGAGGATGGCCTGTAGCCAAGATGGAGGAAGATACAAGGTTTTCAGGTTTGGGTTAGGTACTAGGAGGCTACCCGGCTACCTTCTTTTCGCATACCTCGTCCCCGTTGTCCAAAGCCGATATCTCTTGAGTAGTTGCTGCTACCCTGTCTCTCTTCTTTTCACGCCTCTTCCTCGTCGTCCAAGGCAGTCCATAGACATCTCTCAAGATTAAAGGTGTTCACATATTTCATCAATCAACCATTCGCAAGCACCAGTTAATTTTCTTTCAAGAAATAATTTTACACAGGAAAACACCCCATTTCATCCTTCTCAACAGATTCTACCCAAAATTGGATTTTTCTTTTGAAGGCGTGAACTTTGTCATTAGCATCGAAAGTTGAGATACTCTTCCCCTGCAAATTTGTCCCACGTCTCATTCATTTTCATGAAAATATCTAATAAATACGACAGTATACATTGCCATTTCTCACCAGAGAAATCGTTGGCCAATTTGATATTGTGGTCCATCGACAGAAATAAGACTCCAGAATGAAATTCATGTAATCTGGAAAGAGGTTTCCCACGAGGCAGCCACCTCACTCCTGTATAGTGAAGCAGGGAATGATTAAGGTTCCCTTATCGACATGCTATCATATCCACATAGTATTGTGAAAAGTCCTTAACTTCAATGGTCGTATCTTAATAATTTGGAGACTCATACAAAACGTTTGTTGAAAGGGGCTGGCATTTATTTCATAGGTAAAGTCTGTGGGGAACGCAATGACTGCTGTTGTAAAATAAAAAAACTTTCGTTTTCAGTACTCATTATTAATTTTTTACTTGTTCATTCTACGTTTATTTTTGTAATTTTAATTGTTCTCGAAGTTCGCGGCGGACCACTGTTTGGGGGTAACTCCGACTTAGAAAGTTCCAACACCAAAGTATGCCCTATTCAATTAATTAAGGCTTGGTGAGATTGGGCTTAAGGTTGAGATAAAAAAGTCTGTCACGAGCGGGATTCGGCTAAATACGCCGCTACTCTACCACTTGAGCTATTGTGACTTCGATTCACTCGGACACTAACCTACCATCTCAACCCCAACTTCTTAAATTTTTCCTCCTTTTTGCCATTTTTCAAAATGTCGTGTAATGGATTTGATTCTCGGCGACAAATGAAATGGCCACGGAGAGTTTAGTGAAGTATAATTCTTTTTCTTACTACATGTATTTATTAGGTTTCGTGGTCCGTTTGACCAAATAAATTCTTTTCAATTAATCAAGGTTTTGGTTGAGATAAAAAAAGTCAGTGTCACAAGCGGGATTCGAACCCACGACCTTCGCCTGCGATTATGATGAAATCACAGCCTTTTGTTTGTTCTTGGCAATTTATTTCAAAAAGACTATTCCAACTGGATGAATAAGATTGCTCCTAAAAAAGTTGTTAAAATTAGACATATCGTTCTTTCATTTTCCACGAGAAGTTTACTAATTTCAAGTTGTCTATTTGGCCATAATAACAACGCGATTCCCTCATTTTAATTTCAATGTAGCAAAAAGAGAAAGCTGGATTTCCAACGCACAGTGTGAACCGAAGTCATTTTCTAAGTATAGATCGTAGCAATAGTTCGTACAGAAGGTAACCAAGGTTTTATTTTGTAGAATATTATTGAAGCGAGAAAGTGCACAATTGTAACCCTTAACCATCCCTAACAATTGCAGGAAAAAAAACGGTCCATTACACGACAGTTTTTAAGTTCCAGCCACGCCAAATGAGTATCTATTATTGCTTTTTACATTCGTGTAAAGATTTATATAAAATAAACTCGATAAAGGCCCGTAGAGTATTTCCTAAGCAAGGATGGCTTAAAGGAATTTCATAATGGTGAAAAATGTGCGTTCATCCCTCGAAATATTGTCTTGTAAGGACGGTATTTGCTTCCTTTAGTCAATACAAAGACAATTGGAGGAAATCGTATCAAAGAAGATAATCTTTTGATCCTTTGTCAACCTCCTTCCCAGGACATATATCTTTTCTACTCGCGGTTCAAACAAAACCCCCCAGGGCCTTTTGAAATTTTCCAAGATGGGGGTAATTGCGTTAAAACCGGCTTCCAGGGCTTCACCGGCTCTTTCTGACCGAAGTCCTATCGGGAAAAAAACAAAAAACTTTTTATCGGTAGACGGTTCAGCTAAAATTTTAACAGGAGTGTTTAAAATTTTTGACAAAATTTGATTAAATTTAATCGATATTTTCTAAATTAACAAACAGTGAAGGGGCGTCGGTGGCCGCAACGGTCAGGCGTTGACCCGGCCCTCTTCATTGTAAAGTAAAGGCCCCGGGTTCGAATCCAGCGGTCTGCATTCTAACCCAACAAAATACTTTATTGATAACGTAGAGACAATTGTTTTGATGATTGGTCCTCGAGCAGTTAGCCATTATTTGTTAGGTCTTTTCTGACCACTCTGGTCTGCTTTTTGGTCTACCGGATGTATCTCGTTAAAAAGGACAGTAATCACTGAAAATGATCAAGCAGATCTAGGCTAACTAGGAAGACCAGAAACGACCAAGCTATAGATTCATCGCACCGCGGACCTGAAGAAATCATATCACTAGTTTAGCATTTCTTAGCTGTTTATCTTCCCTGATCGTGTTTTGCCCATAAACTTTCCAATATTTGGAAAAAAAAGGAGGTATCGCACTGACCATCCCCTGACAATTATCAAACAGATTATGGCGGACCAGGATGATCAGGTACAACCTATCTTCAGGGAGGTTAGAATAATGGATGGTATATATCCCCATCTCAACTCTCATTTTTTCTATCTATCCTTAATGGGTCTTTCAGACAAGTTTCTATATTTTGCCATCTTCTGTATCGATTCTGGGAATCCAGTGAGGGCAGGCAGGTCTAAAAGAACATGAGGCGTGATGATAAAACATTGAAGTCTTGTTATTTTATAGGTTAGTTAAGGGGGTTAACGAAACAAAAATAAAACACTTGATAATTTGTTGTGGTCAAGCGTACCACAGTATTTTTGTCACAGGGGGGTTTGTCAGAGGCTGAAATTTATTGGCAACAATTTTTTTAAAAATCTCAAAGCTGTTCTTGCTGATTTTATGGTTCTATAAGTTCAACTTTTTCACACCCCAGATATGAAAATAAATGTTTAAAAAGGAAGAAAAACACAACAAAAGGAATTTTTGCACAAATTTGATTATTTCTTAACTGTCTGTTGAAGTCTGAAAACTTCTCTGAAGAAAATGTGTACGACAAGTCAGACTGATCATGAAAGATAAAAAGTGCTAATAAAAGTCAACTCTCTTCATTCAATAATTACTCACCATTTTTGTTTGCCTATCTTCACTGGGTTGTCTGCCACCTATTTCAGCATATCACCATCTTCAGTATTGGGTCTGGAATTCCAGCAAGGACAGGCATACCAGATCGACCAAATTACAGGTTCATCAATTAACCACAGAGAGAAATCTCACAAAACTCAACTTTTTTATCATGTAAAAACATACTTAATCCATGATCCAAATTTAATAGCATATTAATCCAAAAGGTTAAAGAATCACATCTGATTTTAAGATTTTTTTCCAATGTTGCAGGAGTTGGAGTCGTTCTTGTCACAGTTAGTGGAGTCGCATGGAGGCTGATGTCACATGAAGCACCTCCGTGGAGGAGCATGTTCGGCTTTTCCTCGACTTCAGAATCCGCAGACCCGAACAGGAGGTTCCTCCCTAGACTGCCTCCATCTTACGGTCGGCCACACCATCCCTATGCTGGTATATATCTATATACTGCATTATTACAGGACAGTTTTAACTTTTTCTATTTTTATTTCAGCTATGATGTATCCAGAGTTTCAGTATAGGGCTCCACCTCCTTCTTACCAGGCAAGCATGCAAGAATACAGGCTAAGGCTGCTGTTATTAGATAGGCACAGCGCTGCAAGCCCTCCTCCTACATACAGATCCCACCCTCCAACACTTCTAAGGTGATTTAAATTCATTTTCTTAAAATATAATAGTGTTTGAATTGTGTTTACATTATTTAATATTTATTGTCTTAATTTACATTTTTTTTTTTCAGAGGTGGCTTGATAGTCGGCGGAGGAGGAGATTACAGTAGACCTCCTAGTTACCGATCAAGGACAAGCAGCTGCCGACCAGATCTTCCCAGGACAGATCACTCTCGGCAGGCTTCTTCTGTTCTCAGCTCGGTCAACAATATCAGCACGACTCAGCTAAAGGAAGAGCCGACCAAAGAAAATGTCGTGACAATCGTCCAGACCGCAGAGGAACCGACTGGGCCTGTCATCGTCACTATATCCGGCCCTCCGGAACCTCTTGTCCATAACCCTCGCTCTGAACAGATGGAGATCCTAGCCCACTTGTGATATACCCATTATTCGGACAGCAATTGTCTATATTTCAAAATCATTTTGCTAATAGGGATCATTTGAGTGTTTCGCCAGCACTGTCATTTTTGTTTTTGTTTAAATATCACCCTGTCCAGTTTTTAAAATCGCTTGATTTTCCCATTTCCACTTTTGAGAGTAAAGCTCAAGTTTGCAATTTTTAAAATCCCTAGTCAACAGTTTTCTAATTGAATCACTATTTCACAAGAAGTAACATGCTTTTTTGTAGAATTTATCTGTGTAACAAAGGTACTTTTGTTTTAAATCTGTCTCTTTTTATGTTTTGTTTTATTTTTAAATGGAAATAAATTTTTTTAATTTTATCAAAATTATTTCAAGGAATTAGTAAAGTTTTTATTGTTTTGTTTATTTTGGCACTTACACTTAGCAATTTATTCTTAATAGTGTAAATTGTGTTACTCTTTTATATCATAAAATGACCAATATTTAGATATAATCATTTTATATAACTTGAAAGTTCTCACGATTATTTAGAACTCTACTGGCAAATAAAGAAGTCCCAAAGCAAAATCGAGGTTTTTAACGAGGCAATTAATGCCAGTATAATGTGTCTTATAAGAAACGATTTTAATTTTTCAAAATATAGACTGATTCATTTATTTTCAAAAATAAGCCTTAATACGATTCTAGTATTATTAAGTTTCTCTTGTCAAAAAGAGATCAAATTTATAAATATAATATGATTAAAAACAAAATAAACAAATGAATATATTTTAGGATACTAGTACACTAACACAAGAGATGATGATTTGTATAGTGTAAATATTTGAAATGAATCCCGAAGTACCGCCCGTGACTTGGGTGCCAAGCGTTGTCGACTATTGATAAGTTTCAAGAAAGGTTAATCCGCAGTGCCATACCTAAGAAAAAATTATCAAGTTTACAACGAGAGTACTTCAGCCACAAATAATATTTGTCATGTTTCAAAATGTACATACCAAAACTACATTACGGGGGTTTTTTGTAGTCACAACCCTTTCCCAGTTGGTTATTTTTATTTTTTTGTCTCCGTATTTTAATCATGTGTAAATATATTGCGGCTAGTTGTTCGCTTAGCCATAAAAATATATTTAAACAAAAAACGGTAATATTTTTCTTATTAACAGAAATATTGTATATATTGTGACATATTGTATTGTAGATTAAAAATGTACAAACAAAAAATTGAGAATTAAATTAAAAACATATTAAAATTTATGGTTGTGTTGTATTTTCACCTCATTCTTCTATTGTTATTTTTTTTGGTAATATATTAACATGTTAAATTCTGGTTGGAATTTCAATTTTCACCCTCCCAGGGGGCTAATTGTATTAAAACTAATTTTTATGTATTTAATAAATACGTTAATTTTTTATGTTAATCTTTTAGTTAACAGTTAGGCATTCCAACTTTTTAATTAAATAAATTGAAATGTGACACAGTTGTAAAATGCACTTGGTAGTTTCTTTAAAACGAGTTCTCAACCATGAAAATCGCTCCATTAGCTTTTTGAGAAAAATTATATTTGAACTTGCACTTGGAATGTCAGTCAGGCGGTGGTCAAAATTTCAGTTTGAAAAATTAATATAAACCTATCACTGCGAAAGTCGGAATATAAGATGTTATAACACTAGAATCACGAGAGGTCAAATCCAAGTCTATCCAAAAAACAGAACATTGGTTAAAATATGCGAAAAAAACATTATTTTGTTCATTTATCTTTTCAAATTGTACCAAACTAGAACAACTGAACTGAGGTTGTTTCTAAGTGAACAAATACCTCTAAAACCATCTTGGTTAAGAATACTACCTACTTTTCTGATAGTTCACCAATGTATGGCAATCAACAAAAACCTAATGATTCATTTTTGATGGGGTGGCTGTGTCCAAATGTTGCTTCTTTTAAGCCAGTAGCTTTTTGGGTTCACAGGTGAGAAGAATCCTATCCTGGTGTCTGTTAGTCGTGTTTTCTATATACTTCTGTTTCGATTAGGTTGTTTAATATGGACAATAAAGAAGGTTGTTTAAACTTTTTAAACTTAATACTGTTTTTTACCAGTCATCTTGTTGTGCCTATTGGCCAATTTGGCATTTCACCACCTTCTAAGTGTTTTGAGAAAAATAAATTACACCATACTCAACAATATATCAAAGGTGTTCATGGCACTACTTTTGTAATGGGCTGAGAATAAGATTCACTGAAGATGGTGAAATGCAAAAATTCATCTGATAGACCAATGTGATCGGTAATGATCAAATTACACAATGAGAACCCGCAGACTACAGTTGGAAATCTCATGATTTAAAACTAATACAATAAAACATTCTTGATTTTCCAATGGGGAATCTAAATTAAAAAAAATAATCCAATTAATCATAAAAAAGAATCTAATTTTGGAACCATAAAAGGATCAAATGCAAACAACATAAGCAATCAGGAGAGAAAAATATATATGTACACAAAAAACTTGTATTTACATATCACTTCATGCACAAAAGTATAATAGTATAAAATATTTTGAAATTTATTTAACAATTATCATATTTGATTTGTTTTCAAGTAGTATGGATCGTCTTTTGTAACTGGTTCTAAATGCGTCTTCAAAAATTCATCCACTGCATCTGTATCCCATCTTTCAATTGCCAAAACCTAAAAAAAAATATAGTAGCACACAAAAACAAAAGATGGGATGTATAAAACATTTGAAAGGTACTAAATTTAAAAAAAAAGTTCTATTACCTCTTGAACATTTCCATTGTGATCGAACAGTTTAATAATTGGATCTAACCCTCTGACATATCTGATGGTTAAATTCGGGAATTTTGATGGTTTGTCACCTTTCACAAAAGCTGGAATATACAGTGTTAATAAGTTTAAGGAAATTATGTCAATAACAACTTAGTATTAATAATAAATAATTATCTTTAGGTTATTTTGCTTCTCAAATGTTATAATTATCATCTTTCTTTTGCTGAACTAATTTCTATGTGAGAGGACTCAAACTAATTAATTATTACAGTCATTTAATCAAATATTTAAACCAGCTTACCTTGAATTTGTGGATAAGCACCGAATTTGCAAGTACACACCTCAAGTGTAGCCTTGGGATATCTTTTGACAGATGGTTCATGTTCATCTTTATTACAACAGTTGAAACAGTGTTCTCTGTGGAAAAAAAATTGTACTTTGTTTCTAGTAGGAGCCAGTATCTTTACGTCCTGCACACCGTGACCAGTAATTAATTTTCTATACTTCGGTTCTTAGTAAACATTAAAACGAAAACATTTTTTATGTGCATGTAAAAATAACAAACACATGGAAGGAATTTTTTTCCGTTTCAAAGATCTGTTAATTTTCGATGACGATAAACTGTTTATTGCATCAGAATGCAAGTGAGACTGAATAAACATTTTAAATTCTCTAAAACATAAACATTGAAAAATCCTTTATCCTTGTTTTGGATTAAGGATTAAGTGGGTTTACCTCTTATTGATATTCCCAATTTAAAACATAGCATAAACATCTATCGTTGGTAACAACGAGACAAATTAAGGGCAGAATATTCTTTTATTTAGAAAAAAAATCAATTGGGAGGTATATTTTGCCTGTCAATGTAAATACACATACATTTTAAGTGTAGATAATTTTTGAAGTGTTTAGATAAAGAAAAGTAAGTACCATTAAATGGACAGAAGTGTTTATTCTATAATTATTAGATATTTATGAATTCTACATAACGACTCAGAATAGACTAAACCCGTACATCGTCTGTGTCATGACGAACTGTTGGTCCATTTTTATTTATTTTTTTAAATTATTTCATTTGTACCTTTACTTAAGTGGGGAACACACTTACCCGATGCAACACTACCCGACGCAAATCCTAAGTCCAATTTTCCATAAGATTGTATTATTACCATGCACATCTGCCCGATGCCACGCTGCCCTACTCTACGCCATGCGATCCCCACTGTCCAGATTTTAGTCGGGTAGCATCGAGTATAGTCGAAGAGGTTTTGCTCATAGAATTTAACTAACAGTTTATTTCATGGTTTTGCTCATAATATTTCGTCGAGTAGTGTCAGAACAGGACAAATTTCAAACTATGTACTATATTTTGTTGTTATATTAATTAAAACATTCTTATTTTAATGTAAACCAAATTAAGTGAGATCAAAAATTCATTAGTTTTTATTTTAAAAAATTAATTTCAATGGTTTGGTAGAAAATTGTTCAAAACACCAAAATATCATTTATTGATACAACGAATTTAACTAAATGGATTTGCCAATAAAATTTAACTAAAATTTATTACACAATTTTGCTCATAAAATTTAACTAAAATTTATTTTATGGATTTGCTCATAAAATTTAACTAATAATTTATTCCACGGATTTGTTCATAAAATTTATCTAACAATTTATTACATGGTTTTGCTCATAAAATTTAACTAACAGTTTATTTCATGGTTTTACTCATAGAATTTAACTAAAAGTTTATTTCATGGTTTTGCTCATAAAATTTCACCAGTTTCATCGAGTAGTGACAGAACAGGACACTCATATTTTTTTGTAGTTTATTTCAAACTATGTACTATATTTTGTTGTTATATTAATTACATCATTCTTATTTTAATGTAAACCAAATTAAGCGAGATCAAAAATTCATTAGTTTTTATTTTACAACAATTAATTTCAATGGTTTGGTAGAAAATTGTTCAAAACACCAAAATATCATTTATTGATACAACGAATTTAACTAACTAAATGGAATTGCCAATAAAATTTAACTAAAATTTATTACACAATTTTGCTCATAAAATTTATCTAAAATTTATTTCATGGATTTGCTCATAAAATTTAACTAATAATTTATTCCACGGATTTGTTCATAAAATTTATCTAACAATTTATTACATGGTTTTGCTCATAAAATTGAACTAACAATTTATTCAATGGTTTTGTTCATAAAATTTAACTAACAATTTAATACATGGTTTTGCTCTTAAAATTACACCAAAATTTATTTATTTAATTAATTTTTTTTAATTTCGTCGAGTAGTGTCAGAACTGGACACTTATATTTTTTGTAGTTTATTTTGAACTATGTATGTAATTTTGTCTTTATATTAATTACAACATTCTTATTTTAATGTAAACCAAATTAGATGAGATCAAAAATTTATGAGTTTTTATAAGAATTATTTAATTAAGATGGCTAGGCAGAAAATTTATTGAAACACCAGAATAACTTTATTTAAAACAATTAAATTTAACTAACAATGTATTACATGGTTGTGGTCATAAAATTTACTCTTATTCCTTATTCTTCTTATTAGTTTGGAAACATTCGAATACCATATTCTTACGAAACCTGGCAAACCAGTTCAAAAAGCCTCATACGATTGTCCAAGTAGTTTTCAAGGGGCATCCAGTGGCCGAAACAATTAAGGCATTGATTCAGCGGATTCGAATTCAGCAGCTCAACTAGTTACTTTCTAATCATGTCCACAGTATTTGATAAGATTCTTGTTAATGTAGAATGCTACCAAAATTAAATTCGTTCTCCCAGATCATCAGTTGGAGTATTTATATCACCATTCTACAGACCAGTGTTTTGTATTGCAAACCTCATATCCTCTTCCCTTGAGTATAAAGAATATTGTTTATGGAGGGGGGGGGGCTTTCTCAATGTGGCACTAGAATTCTTTCATCACCTATCAGAGCATTTCTTTCAGGTCTGGTGGTAATCAGCTCACTCAAAATATTGCTCTCTGGTCATGGAAGTACCACTGGGAGTGTGCTTGGACTAATCCTTTATACGGCATATGTACAAAAATTACCCATCACTCTCATCCTTTGCTGAAAACAAAGCATACTATCCTCTGACCATAATCCTACAGTTACCGAAGATCTGCATAGAAAAATTTTATGTATAGCAGACTGATAGAAAATGAAAAATGTAGATTAATGATCATATCACATTTAGACTCCAAAGCAAATCTTCTTCTGATCTACTAGAACAATGTTCCTCCCATTTCGTCTTATGAAGCCAAATAATTTCATATTCAAAGAAATATTATAGTTGAACTACTGAAAATTAAAAATATTTTGAGAGGAAATTTTTTTCATTATATGAAATCAAATGATTTGGAGACACCAACACATCTACTAATAAACTGTGGAGCTACACTAGTCCGCAGGAGTTTTAGGATGTATAATGTGACCACAGAAGAGCTTCAACCACTGAAACCAGGCCTATTAATCAAGTTTCTTGATAAAATAGGACTTTTCTGATGTGCTTTAGGCAGAGTATGGGGAATACAATAACTCTTAAAGGGTAGTATACTATACCCTGAAAAGAAGTTGTTCAATGAAATTTCTGTAGTGCGATAAGAGGAAAAAGATCATCTTTGGCCATCATACCTCTACTCTCTTTGATCAACAATTCCGATGGTCCTAAACTGCTGTAGTTATCACGGTAATACACGGCACACCCAGTATTGGGCTACATAATGGACGCTATGTACATCATTGCTCAATCTACCCAGGTTAGATCTTGATTTGAAACCATATTTTAAGGGGAAAAAATTTATTCAAATTTATTTTTCATCAGAGAAAACTTTGACAAGGATAAAATTGAACTTATTCTCTTTATTTTTAATCTAAAGTGTATCAACGGATTAGTAACACTCTATAAAGGTAAACAACCAGTTATTAATGTTGTGTTTATGTTTTAAGTTAACTTTTAATCTTTTTACCTAGTTATCCTGGAAAATAAACAAACACAAGTGCCTGTGGGTTTTTTTTGTCTTTGATTGTATAGTTGTAAATATCAGCTATCCGATTAAACCATGATTTGGATAGGTTGGATGTTTTTTAATTATAAATCAATGTTGAAAAAAATTTACCTCATTTCTTCTAAATCATATTTTTTCAAGTGTTCACACGATGAGCACAGGAGTGTTGCTTTGTTAAATCCCAGGGCCCAGCAATCTTCAGCAGTAAATTCTCCAAGTACACCTTGCTGCGATTAAATAATAAAACAATAAAGCTGTTTTTAAGATAATTTAAAATTTGACTTACCGTGAATAACGCAGCCAAGGAGCAGAAAAACAAAGTGAATCCTAATTTACTCATGGTTTTTCAATTCTTCTCTGCCTTTGTCTATTATTTATAATCGGCACATTTAATTAAATTTTAGAGTAAAAATTGAAACGGTTTACTGTTGTCAAATGTAAAGGAGAACCTCCACCAGGCACAGTACCAACCAGTCCACAGGTGCTGCTATCGCTGCCGTGGCAAGCACTGGTTGGAAGACATCGACGTAAGGCGCCGTCACAACATGTTTGAATTTTCACTTCTTTTATTTCTCCAGACAATAAAGATAATAAACCAAATAAATAAATATAAACTATTTGTCACGATCTGTTCTCGATTCAACAAGACTGGCTCAACTCTGAATCCTTTTTATGAGAAACAGAATTCCAGAGATCTTGATCGAACCTGAATACAGCCGATCAAGTGCTTTTTTATAATAAAATTTAATTAAAGTTTGAAAACAATTTATTAATCACACAAGAAAATAATTAAAATCAATAAATTTCATTTTTAAATTTTAAATAAACAATTAAAACTTTTTAAATTTAAATAAACAGTAATTTCCCGCAAACCGTTTGCCAGACCATTTAGAACAAGGGTGGAAAGTACTCACTATTTACAGTCAATCCGCAGTGGACCGAAACACTCTATTTCAGGGAATACAACACTTTTGAGGATCACACACTTCTTTTGTCTATCATCTACACCAGGGGTGCTCAAACTTGAACTGCTGGCGATCTACCTCAATATTTTTAGACTACTTACGATCGANTCACCATACAAAAGAAAAATTCTTCCTCCCAATCCTTATTAAAATGATACGTTTTAGATTTCACTGCACTCATTTTCCGCAAGCAGTGTTATTTTATTACGTAATACATTTTTGTAGTTTAGTTACCTACCTACTTATTAAAAATTTTTTTTCTTCTCGAGATCTACTCAAAAAGCACTCGCGATCGACTGGTCGATCGCGATCGACCGTTTGAGCACCCCTGATCTACACGGAATGACTTGTTCACCTCCCAGACTCGACTGTCTCCTCCCTATTCTCTTTTATTTTTTTACTCTAGGCCTAATCACGGCATCTAAATCATAACATTATCACTTTGAAATAAATACAAATGTGACATGTTGAAACAACGCGATAGTTATGAAATATCATGTCATGGTGGTGGAGGACTTTACAGCATCTCTAGTTCTGAACATTCTTCTTTAGTAAATTAGTAAATCCATTATATTTAGTGGCCTGATTGATCAAATTACTTCTTTCAATTAATTACTACTATATGTCTTTATTCTTTAATATATATACAAAGTTTACAATTCGGCAGTATATATTACAGAGCAAGATAGACGTTCCTCACGGTTTAAAACCGTCTGAGGGACTTTCAATTAATTAACGTTTTTATGTAAGGTTTTGGTTGAAATGAAAAAGTTAGTGTTACGAGCGGGATTCGAACTAGTATTAGAAACTGCTAAACCTACCTACATTGGAAATATTTATACAAGGAGGGGCTAGGAAAAGCTCACTTAGGCTCCAGAAACAACTAAATTGGAAAGGAACTAAACAATTCGGGCATACAACCATAATCAACAAAATCAGACACCCATTATTAGAAATGGGGACTGGACTGACTATATGATCCCGGAAACATTCTTCACAACTTCCTACAAAGTCTCAACGGACTATAAAGGAGAGGAAGAACGCAGGAGAGCATCAAATACAACGGTATGGTATACAGATGGTTCCAAAACAAACGAAGGAACCGGATCAGGGTTTTCTGTACAAGCCCAACACATGAGCAATCAAACTCAATAGGGAAGTACAATTCCGTCTTTCAAGCTGAAATACACGCCATAAATGCTTGAGCCCTGAAAAATCTTAAAAGTGGTTACACTGGCAAAAAAATCCTCGTAAGATCTGATAGCCAAGCAGCAATTAAAGCATTAGCATGTAAAAGAATCACAACAAAATTAGTCAGTGAATGCATCCAAATTCTCCAAAACCTGGGGGAACACAACAATCTGATGATATCTTGGGTGCCAGGGAATTTTGGGTAACGAGAAAGCAGACAGTCTGGCCACAGGAGGATCTGCAATACCATACATACATAGGCCCAGGACAACAAAAACAAATATAGAATCCTCCATCGCAGAATGGATCCAAACAAACCAGAAGGAGAAGTGGATAAACTCTAGCGGTGCTAGACATAGTAAACTTATGATGAAACAACCCTCACCAAGACTGGCAAAAGCATTGCTGCAATTGGAGAGGGCCAAACTCAGAGGAGTGGTAGGACTACTAACCGGTCACTGGCATCTGAGAAAAAAATCTACACAACAATGAGTATATACAACGATGATCCCATTTGCAGATTGTATAATGAGATGGAAGAAACAGCCACTCATATCATCTTCGAATGCTTCAATGAAGATTTAACCTAACGTACGGAAAAAACTTAGGGAATCAAATTGCAGCAGCGTCAGTCAATGGCCTGATACATGTAAGGAGAAGGATTGAGTAAACGGAGGAACTAGGAAGGTAAAACAATCCAGAAGGCTGCAGTGCCTGGGTAGCGCATACCCCGCTTTCCTAGTATCGTTTTTACCTACTATACCATACCATACTCCATCTCAACCTACAACCTTTCCAATTTTCCCTCCTTTTTGCCATTTTTCAAATGTCAGGATTCGATTGTCGGCGACCTTTCATAAAAAGGTTAATTAATTGAAAAAGTAATTTGGTCAACATACCAATAAATCTAATGGATTTAATAAGTAAAAGAAGTATCACTTCACTAACAGCTCCTCGTGGCCACTTGATAAGTCGCCGAGAATCGAATCATGATTACACTTGAAAAATGGCAAAAGAGGGAAAAGGTTGTAGGTCGAGATGAGCAGTTGATATCCGAGTGGATGGAAGTCACGATAGCTCAAGTGGTAGAGGAGCGGCGTATTGAGCCGAAGGTCGTGGGTTCGAATCCCGCTCGTGATAGTGACTTTTTTCATTTCAATCGAGACCTAACATAAAAAGTTTAATTCTTCTTTAGGTTACCTGTGTGAATGTACTTTTGTCTTTGTTTATGCTATGTTTTAAATTGGGAATATCAATTAGTGATAAACACGCATAAATCATAATCCAAAAAAGTTTTGTTCGTCCTCCAGTGTAAATCCCTGCCCAAACCATTACACCGCCTCATCCAAACTGCGGTAGTAGTACTATTTATTGACAAATTACACAGGACATAGGTACTACGTTTCGGTCTTCTGTGTAATTGTGCCATTCGTGCGTGTCGTGTCGAGAATGCCCAAGTAGTGGGCAGAAGACAAGACTTTGAGCCCTGAAGATGATCTCAATAAAGATCGAAACGTTGGCACGATAAAGAAATTGTTTTTCTGAAACCTACATCACACCAGACCGCATCTCACGATTTCTAAATAAATATCGATTAACGGTCACTAACCACCACACAAATAACAATACCATAAGTGTTAAACATAAACAACAATAAAATATATACAGCAATAAAATAATAAAAAATAAAAATAACTAAATAAATAAATTTAAATAAATATGGCATAGCTTTAAAACAATGGCAAAATATAAATATCACAGGTATAGCACACAAGCGCTATTTTGAATTAATGATAACTAAGGAGTCAGATATTTTTCACAGGTTACATGCTTCATCATTGTCTTTTCATTATATTATGCTTGTCATGCATGCGATTCAGATAAAAACGGAAATAATATCTTAATGGCATATCGTCGCTTAACGACTAGCCCTTGGATGTGCTTAGAAAAATTAAGTTTCCTGTCTAGTGTCAGTCCCAGATAAACAACTTTGTCCACTCAGCTTACTAAAACTTCCATCAAAGAGATCCTATGTGTGAGCAACGGTCTACGCCTAGTAAAGAGAATTGCTTCGGTCTTAGATGTATTTATCTTGAGCTTCCATCTAACACAGAAACGACTAATTTTTGCAAGCTCAAGGTTTAATCTGTTTACGATGGTGCATAGTCTCTATGATGAGCAATAGAGAGCCATGTCATCAGCGTATAATGAAGATGGCAGTTATTTATTGTAGGCATGGCTTTTAAGAAGAGTGTAAATAAGGTACGTCCAAGGATCAAACCCTGTGGAACCCCTGCAGCTATTTTGAATTTAGATGAAAGTGAGTTGTTCAGTGAAACCCGGAAGAATCTGTTGTTAAGATATGAATGGATACAATTGACCACGTAAGGGGGGAAAGTGTTTTGAATAAGTCTGAATACAATTCCTCCCTGCCACGCCGAGTCGAAGGCCTTTTTCAGGTCGAGCAAAACCATGCCAGTGTGCTTTTTTGCATTAAAATTTGCTGTTACATGATCCACCATCTTTGAAAGCTGCGACACAGCATCCAAACTGCATTGAAGGGAGCTCGAACTGGGGCATTTTACGCCTTCTTACGCCTGTTCTTGGTAGAGTCTTCATCGCCTGCTTTCACTATATAGACAGAAACGCAACTCATCAGTAAACATAACAGCATTCAAATTGCTGTTCTCTTCTAGGAGCTCGCTGCACTAAATTCTCCTGAATTGCCGGCGGCGGGTTGTTGCTGCATGTCTTTTCAAAAGGGATGCGATGTGAGGGCAACTTCTCACAAACGATTACGGATGGTTTGCGTTGATAAAGGCCTTGCCAAAATATCCTGTACTTCATTTAGGAACTGGGCACTATGGAATTGGTACCGTCTTGCAGCACAATATTTCAATTTTGTATACCCTGGTACTTTAGCCTCTTCGAATCGGGCTAAAGCCCAGGAGACCTTGCTATGATGAACGCCATCTGCCTCGGCGATACGCATTTGATGGTAACCTCGATAATTCTTTCTTACAATAAAATATTACTGCGAGACTGAGTCATCGCAATAGCCAACTTCTGGTTCATGATGATGTCTTTCCTTGGTTAAAGATAATACAACTGGATTAAAACGGAGAAATGGTGTTGTTTACAAAGTGAGGAATCTTCATGGTCTATTCTTAAGTAAATCCGTTATTAAAAATGAGGATTAGATATTTGTTTGTTTTTGATTAGTATTTTCTATTTTGTTTCATCCAACTAACACGAATTCATCGGTTAATTTAATTAAAATTAATAGAATAAGAACAAATTACAAATATCCCTATTAGGTTTTGAGCAGTTTAGTAAACTCAGCTCACCATGTCCAACCCATAAAAATCCAACCAACTTAACCACGCTCAACTAGTCAACTCCAACCAACATAGCCATCTCCAGCCAGTTAACCCTCAACCATCAACTACTCCAAAACATTTACTAAATTTAACATATCCGCCCTAACCAGTAAAAACCTAATCAATACAGCAACGTCCAATCAGATAAAACTCAGCCAACTTATCCAGGCCTTCAAGTAAACTCAACCAAATTTGCAACATCCAACTAGTAAACTTAACCAAACTTCCAAAGCTCACCCTGTTAATAAACGCCTAACCAGTAAAACCCCAACCAACATAACGACCTACCAGCAAACCTAACCACAATATAGCACTATGATGTCTAACGACAATTAAACACTACTGGAAACTTATTTTAACACAAAAAAGAGTCGATCCTACTTTTACGTCATTATAAACATGACCAACTGAGCCTACTGCTTCGTTTAATCATATGTGTGGTGAATAATGACCGTTAGTATATAAGATTATTCGGAAACCGTGAGATGCGGTCTGGTGTGACGTAGGATTTAGAAAAACATTTTCTTTATCGTGCCAACGTTTCGATCTTTATTGAGATCATATTCAGGGCCTGGGATTTACAAACACTGTTTAAATTTAATTAATTAAGGTGTTTAGTTGAGATGAAAAAAAGTTAATGGCACGAGCGGGATTCGAACCCAAGATCTTCGGCTAGATACGCCGCTGCTCTACCGCTTGAGCTATCGTGACCTCGATCCACTCGGACATCAACTTCCTATCTCAACCCCACCTTATGAGTTTTCCCTCCTTTTTGCCATTTTTCAAATGTCGTGTAATCGGATTGGATTCTCGACGACAAATGAAATGGCCACGGAGAGCTTTAGTGAAGTGTACTTCATTTTAATTCATTAAATTCACTAATTTCGTGGTCCGCTTGACCAATTAATGCATTACAATTAATTATGGTTTTTAGTTGAGGTGAAAAAAGTTAATGGCACGAGCAGGATTCGAACCCACAATCTTCGGCTAGATACGCCGCTGCTCAACCACTTGAGCTATCGTTACCTCGAGCCACTCGGACATCAACTTCTTGAAAAATGGCAAAAAGGAGGGAACTAGGCTAGGGATATTCTAATTGTTTTTTAGAAAATGGGCCATGGCAATACGAACAGTGGACTAAACAAATAATTTTGGTGTAATTCAAATAATTATCAAACAAAACAGTTGTGCATGCAAGATCGTTTTATTATTAAAAGTGTAATAATCTTTAGTTTCTGTAAACGTTTTCCACGTCCTACCCTTGTTTTGAAACTTTTATTAATATAGATCCCTCAATCTCACTGAGTTGGTCAGACATGAACTTAGCGAGAAGCATGAACTCTCCTTCTTTAACTGGCGTGACGGTGAAAAACACCATTATCTTCTTTTTGGGGGCACAGCTGAAAAAATGAAATAGTTACTTGACATTATAAATTCAACTAATCAACGGTGAATCAGACTCACTCTTCCACTGTGACCGCCTTGATCTTTTTGAATAGTGGCCCTTGGAGGAATATCAGACCATTAGTGATTGCTATTGGAAGTGGGTTGACAAACGATGCCATACATGTTGTCGCCTTGTCGACATAAAAGGAAGAATTCACCTAAATCAAAGCAACCAAAAGATAAAAAAAATAATATAAACGTTTACATGGCCACAAAGTTAACACGGATTTTCAGAAATATTTCTCTGATTTGTTTCTTTATAAAACACATCCTGTAGGTTTTTTAAATGCGTGAAGACTTTTACATACAATGACAGGCAAAAAATTCCACCCAACTGATTTTTTAAAAATGTTATCCATAAAATAAAATTCTGCCCTTAATTTGTCTCGTTTTTTTACTAATAAATATTTGATTATGCTATGTTTTAAATTGGGAATATGAATTACAGTAAACACACTTATACCTTTATCCAAATATAATAATAGGGATAAAATCATTTTCAATGTTTACTTTTTACGGAATTTAAAATGTTTATTCAGTCTCACTTGAATTCTGAAGAAATAAACCGTTTAATTTTCATCTTTGTTATGTTAATTTCAATTTGTAAACTTAAAAATGCAACTTAGTATTGAGGATGGTGCCAGTGGTGTGGCACTTATTGACGATGGACGTTCTATCAGGTATGCAGCAACTAAGAAGACTTCTAGGACCGAAATCCGTCTTGACCGTCAACACTTAATTAACCTTATACAAGAAATTAATCTTTATGTAATTATTGGTTGAAATAAAAAAAGCCAGTGTCACGAGGGGGATTCGAACCCGAAGCTAAATACGCCGCTGCTCTACCACTTGAGCTATCCATTCCCGGATCGAAATGTTTCATCCTAACCTAAATTATTGGTTAAATTTTATGAGCAAACCCATGTAATAAATTGTTAGTTAAATTTTATGAACTATGTAATAAATTGTTAGTTAAATTTTATGAGCAAATCCATTTAGTTAATTAAATTCGTTCTATCAATAAATGGTATTTCGGTGTTTTGATTAATTTCCTACCAAACCATTACAATTATTAAAAAAAAAACTAATGAATTTTTGATCTCGCTTAATTTGGTTTACGTTAAAATAAGAATGTTTTAATTAACATAACAACAAAATTACATATACATAGTTCAAAATAAACTACAAGAAATATAAGTGTCCGGTTCTGACACTTTTTTGATGTCGCTTAATTTGGTTTACGTTAAAATAAGAATGTTTTAATTAATGTAACAAAAAAATTACATATACATAGTTCGATATAAACTACAAGAAATATAAGTGTCCGGTTCTGACACTACTCGATGAAAGTTAAAAACATGTAATAAATTGTTAGTTAAATTTTATGAGCAAATCCATGAAATAAATTGTTAGTTAAATTTTATGAGCAAATACATTTAGTTTGTTAAATTCGTTCTATCAGTGAATGATATTTCGGTGGTTTGATCAATTTTCCGCCAAATCATTAAAATTAATCTTTTAAAATAAAAACTAATGATTTTTGATCTCGCTTAATTTGGTTTACGTTAAAATAAAAATGTTGTAATTAATATAACAACAAAATTACGTTTACATAGTTCGAAATAAACCACAAGAAATATAACTGTCCGGTTCTGACTCTAGTCGACAAAAGTTGAAAACATGTAATAAATTGTTAGTTAAATTTGATGACATACATTTAGTTAGTTAAATTTATTCTATTAATAAATGGTATTTCGGTGGTTTGATCAATTTTTTGCCAAATCATTAAAATTAATTTAACAATAAATTATAATACATAGTTCGAAATAAACTACAAAAAATATGAGTGTCCTGTTCTGACACTACTCAACGAAAATTGTGTAATTTTAAATTCTATGAGCAAAACCGTGTAATAAATATGATAATATCAAAAACTGGTATTTCGGTGTTTTGATCAATTTTCTACCAAACTATTCAAATTATTATTATTATTATTTTAAAAAAATAAAAACTAATGAATTTTTGATCTTGCTTAATTTGGTTTATATTAAAATAAGTAAGTAATTAATATAATGATAATAATACATGTAGTTGAAAATAAAAATGAGTGCCTGGTTTTTTTGTCTTCGACTATACTCGATGCTACCCGACTAAAATCTGGACAGTGGGGATCGCATGGCGTAGAGTAGGATAGCTTTGCATGGCATCGGGCAGATGTGCACGGTAGTAATACAATCTTATGGAAAATTGGACTTAGGATTTGCGTCGGGTAGTGTTGCATCGGGTAAGTGTGTTCCCCACTTACGTAAAGGTACAAATGAAATAATTTAAAAAAATAAATAAAATTGGACCAACAGTTCGTCATGACACAGACGATGTACGGGTTTAGTCTATTCTAAGTCGTTAAGTAGAATTCATAAATATCTAATAATTATAGAATAAACACTTCTGTCCATTTAATGGTACTTACTTTTCTGTATCTAAACACTTAAAAAATTATCTACACTTAAAATGTATGTGTATTTACACTGACAGGCAAAATATACCTCCCAATTGAATTTTTTTCTTTAAATAAAAGAATATTCTGCCTTTAATTTGTATCATTGTTTTTACCAATAACTCTTTGTCTATACTTTTTTTTAAATAAGGAATATCAATTTAGCATAAGCAATAAACTCTTTAATTTTCAACTAGTTTAGTTGTAAAAAACGTGAAAGTTGATTTATGTAAAAATATATACAAATCAAGTTATTTATAAGTGGGTGGAATTTTTTGACGGTCAGTCCAAAACAGGAACGTTGTTCCAAAGACAATTTTTCAAGAAATGAAATGTAATATGAATAATATAATTTTGTTCAGATTCTTTTAATTTCAGTACTTGTTTAGTTGACTAAAATAAAATAAATTTACTATTGTATTGGCAATTTAGATAGACAGTCTAAAGTCAAAATTATTTTTCAGAAGCGTCTTTTCAGATTTCATTGTGGAATTTTGTGAAAGTTGAAATGAAATATTAATTGGTTGTACTGTCATCCTAGCACTTGTGTTTTAATTTAGCATCGACCGACGTCAGTAAATTCAATTTCGATTGTACGATTGTTCAAACAAAATACATTGTTAATTTTTAGCCTGAGACGAAATAATCGATTTTATAATTAGTGGTTATCATTACATTAAAAGTTCAAATTATGTTGTTTGTCAAAATTTACCTCGATAGTGATTTTAGGTAATTGCAGCTTAATAACGGCCTCGGAATAATAGTCGAAATCCGTTTCTTTCACGTTCGCCTGGCAAGTGCACTTGAATAGAAATTCTGACAGTACCGTCTCCGCGTATTCCTCATACGGTACGATCGTCTTGCAAAATGCCGCTGGGAAATGAATACGAGGAGGGTTTAATTAAAAAATGAAGGCACGCGTGTCGGCAAAAAAAACTCAGATTGCCTGATGAAATATTAAATCGACACCTTCGTTTTTCGCGAGCTTCACGTCAAATATTTCACTTTTAATAACAGGCGCTTCTCTTCCTGAATATAGAATGGGCCGTACAGTGAGCGTTACGGAAATAGTGAAAGATTTACTTGAGTTTATATTGACGAGGTCCAACCGGCCGCTAAAAATTAGCACATTTGATTGAAAATCAACAGTAAGTATTGTTGTTAAATTCTGATATTACTCTCTCACTCTCGCTCCCCCCCCCCTCTCTCTCTCTCTCTCTCTCTTTAGGTTTTCATAGTAAACTTTGCTTTACCATTCATTCCATTATTATTGTTTTGTATGTGAAACTTTTTAGCGTGTGCTTCTGCATTTCTCGCTCCCCCCCCCTCTCTCTCTCTCTCTCTCTCTTTAGGTTTTCATAGTAAACTTTGCTTTACCATTCATTCCATTATTATTGTTTTGTATGTGAAACTTTTTAGCGTGTGCTTCTGCATTTCTCTCTCACATACATTTTTCTATCGTACGCTCTCTCTCACTCTCTCTCTCTCTTTCTCTCTCACTCTATCTATCTCTCTTCCTTTTTATCGTTAGATTTTCATAGTAAACTAATTTGTCTTACCATTCTTTCCATTATTATTGTTTTGTATGTGAAAATCTTTAGCGTGTGCTTCTGCATTTGTCTCTCACAAACATTTTTTCTATATTACACTTTCTCTCTCTCTCTCTTTCTCTCTCACTCTATCTATCTATCTCTCTATCTCTCGCTTGTTCTTTCTCTTCTCTCCCTCTCTCGTTAGGTTTTCATAGTAAAATAATTTGTTTTACCGTTCCTTATATTATTATTGTTTTGTATTTCAAAATCTTTAGCGTGCGTTCCTGCATTTCTCTTTCACAAGCATTTTTTCTATCTTACGCTCTCTCTCTCTCTCTCTCTCTCTCTCTCTCTCTCTCTCTCTCGCTCGCTCTCTATTTCTCCCTTGTTAGATTTTCATAGTAAAGTAATTTGTTTGGCTATTCCTTCCATTATTATTGTTTTGTACTTCATGTTTTTAGCGTGTATTTCTGGATTTCTCTCTCACAAACATTTTTTCTATCTTACAATCTCTTTCGCTTAGTCTCTCTCTTTCTTTCTCTCGTTAGATTTTCATAGTAGAGTAATTTCTTTTACCATTCCTTTCATTATTATTGTTTTGTGCGTCATATCTTTACCATGTGTTTCTGCGTTTCTCTCTCAGAAACATTTTTTATATGTTACTCTCCCTCCCACCCCCACTCACTCACTCTCTCTCTCACTCTCTTTCTCTCTCTCTCTCTCTCTCTCTCTCTCTTTATGTATCTATCTCTCTATCCCTCGCTTGCTCTCTCTCTCTCTCTCTCTCTCTCTCTCTCTCTCTATCTCTCTCTCTATCTATATCTCTTCACACATTCACTCCTTCTACTATTCTACTATTTTACTTCTGGATCCGTATCTTGTCTATCCATATTTTTTTATCTATTCTCGTTCATTTAGTTAATTTAAGTCTGTTAAGTATGTTGGATGGTGTATGTAAGGATCATGAATGTATGTTTACTAACCTAAAAGGTTGACCGAATGGTACATCAGTGGTTGCTGTGAGTGTGAATCCAACCTCGTTAAATTCTTCAGCGAGGGAAAACCTTGAAAAATCTGTTGATTTATCCAACAACGCCGAGTAGCACTCCTCGCATGGTACTTTTCCTACCTCAAGTCAAATTTGCTTATAAGTGTTTTGACATGAGTCGACTAATGACTATTTACTGACCTTTAGGATCTTTGTACTCTTGGGTTATGTCAGCCCTCTGCCAGGAACCTTCGGCCTTCGTGCTTATGTAGCTACCTACTGTCGTTCGATCAACCGCGATGAGCTTCAAATGTTCATCACCTCCTGATTTTTTCCATACGAATATTTGTGAATTGATGCCGAAGTATGTGAACGTACCGTTGTACGGCGCTTTGTATTTTCCCTTTCGGATCCCTTTGACGGACGTCGGGCCGTATGAGAAAACGCTGGTGCCGGGAACGTGGAGTGTTGGGTCTAAAATTTGCCAACCGTCATATTCATCACCGATGTCGGTACGTTTCATCCAGACCTCGGTCCAGACGTGATAATTCCTGAAATATTGTAATTTTTATATGTTGGTTTAAACAAAAGGAGTAACTTTTATTTTTTCACTTACCAAATGGGCGAACTGTGACCTTTAAAGCTCTTACGGTGGTCCTCGTCGTATGTAAGGTTAACCACAAGACCTAGGTCATTACCATGGACAAAATTGAAACATGTTACAGGTCGTGCTGCAATTCCAAGTGCTCGGCAAACTAAATGAAAACAAAAAGATGAAACCAAAATCGTATTTACAGCCTCATAAAAATATTACGTACATATAATAGGGGCATTCACAATGTTTGTAAGATGTTAACTCGTGTTAACTCGAATAGAGAAAAAAATCCAGCAAGATTGTGAACTCCCCCTTCTTTTGTTAGCATGGTAAACGTAAATTTTTCCATGCTGCGCGTGGCCATTGGTAGAACCAAAATAAAGCAATAACAGTTCGTGAAGGCTGTTTTTGTTTGTTTTGGTTTTCGTTTGTGTTAAATTGTAAGATGCCAGAAGTTAATAAAACAGGAAAATTAATCAACCCGATCATTCAAAATACTTTCTACGCACTCGAAAAGTACTAACAAATGACACGCTTCAATTCGGGCCGACATACCTAACTTGTGAACTAACGTCTAACAGTCTACAACTTTATAGGATAGGGGATGTACCTATTATGAATGAGCGTACAAGGACCGGTCAGAAATTAACAAAAAGAAATGTATTGTTCTGATTTAATTAATGCGAATTTAAGAATAAAAATATCTGTAAACATAAAAACAGCTGTTAAATTCATGCCTGCCATGTTGGTTACCTTCGCCCTAACGGATATAAATGTGACTACATTTTCGACGTAACACCTAACATTGGCCCTGGCCTGTTAGATGGAGCAATGTTAACTAGCCGATTCTCACAAGTCTACGTCATCATTTTTTTTCGATCTAACAATACCTAACAAAGTTAACAGGGTTAACATAAAAATCGTGAATAACCTTAGTATAATTTTGTTAAGTACGGATCGTCCAGTCGTTTATGGTGTCAAAAAATTAATGTGATTAGGATTTAAATATTTTACCAGTAGTGAGCACACCCGCCAGGACAAGACAATTAGCAAACCTAAGAGGTTCTTTCGTTGAATAGTAGGCTTGAAGTATCGGAGCGCTGGCACACCATAACAGCGGAGATTCCGTTTTATCGAAATTACCCGTTGTACTCGAAAGCATAACTCCTCCGTCGCAATTGTTCGCATTGATCTAAACAAAAGTTTATAGAGAAACCACGAGTGATGTTCAGGAGGAATGAAAATGGCCGGACGAGATTCAAGTATTGTATTTCGATCAAACTGACATAAAATAGGTCAAACATTTTACCGTCGATGTTAGAGCTCTTGTAATTTCCACTGCGTTAGACCTTTTAGACACAGGCAACTTGGCAACATCTGTTATAAGATAAAGTGCACAGTCCAAAACATCTTTGGCGAATTGTCCATAAACCCAGTACGTGGGGTTGTTTGGTTTCATGTTTCCTCTGTATATCAGACCGTGTTCATTTGTAACGTATTCTGTTATGTGAGTGTCGTCTATTTTCACTTCATCATCTGGAATATAAAGATACCGGTCAAATCTGGATAAGGAGTTGTTTTTAGTTCAAATACCTGGAGCGTAAGGGTTGAATATAACATACATCAGTGTGTCCAAAGCGTATGTTGACCTTTCGTTGTTTTCTTTCACTTTGGTATCTATCTCGATGCCCCATCTGCCAATGGTACAATCAAAAGAAGAGACAAACTGGAAAAAAATAATTTAAAAAAAAATTAAAATACGCTTATTACATATATTAGGTTTCGTGGTCCGCTGGTCCAAATAAATTCTTTTCAATTAATTAAGGTTTTGGTCGAGATAAAAAATTTAGTGGCACGAGTGGGATTCGAACCCACGACTTTCGGCTAAATAAGCCGCTGCTCTACCTCTTGAGCTATCGTGACTTCGATCCACTCGGACACTAACTTCCCATCTCAACCCCACCTTTTGAATATCCCCTAAATGCCGTGTAATCTATTTGATTCTTGGCGACAAATGAAATGGCCACGGAGAGCTTTAGTGAAGTATACTTCATTTTTCTTATTACATTTTATTCATTTTATTAGGTTTCGTGGTCCGCTAGACCAAATAAATTCTTCTTCCCGCTTGTGAAACTGACTTTTTTATCTCAACCAAAACCTTCATTAATGGAAAAGAATTTATTTGATCAAGCAGACAACGAAACCTAATAAAATATAATAAGCAAAATGAAGTATACTTCACTAAAGCTCTCCGTGGTCATTTCATTTGTCGCCAAGAATCAAATAGATTACACGACATTTGAAAAATGGTAAAAACGTGGGAACGTTCAAAAAGGTGGGTTGAGATGGGAAGTTAGTATCCGAGTGGATCGAAGTCACGATAGCTGAAGTGGTAGAGCATCGGCGTATTTAGCCGAAGTTCGTGGGTTCGAATCCCGCTTGTAACTCTGACTTTTTTATCTCAACTAGAAACCTTAATTAATTAAAAAAAGCGTTGACACATTTGTCACTGTTATGAAATCTGTAATTACCCTCAAATCAATGCGAGTTCCTTTGAAACCGGCTATCCATGCTGCCCATTTACCGATCAAGCCAGAACTCTTAAAGCTCAAAGGGATAACCGAAAGTGTGTAATGTCCGACAGATGCGTCTTCACAATCTATAATTTGATCCGTCAGAAAGTTATTACAAGTGCTGCATGTGGTAAATTTTGATAAAATGAAAACAAATTATTACATCCAGGTTTAAAGGAAATTGGCAGATGAGAAGTTGTTAATAGAACGTAAATAGACGGATCATTTTTTTCAAGGCAATATAACCATAGAATAAGAATATTAAATGAGTGAGACGGGAAATTAGGCTTTGAAAACTACACCACGCCCAAAACGGAAACTTAACTAAAAATAATGAATGTTGGATCCGTACGTTGCTGTCTAGAATTCCAATTTATTTTCGGTTTACGGTTTTTGTTGTACGGATTCCTATTTTTCGCCTTAATCAGGAAGATTGTCGGTTTTTTCCTTTTTCGTTTTAGCTTCTACTCTCCCGTGTTGGTTTTCGTCGAATATTGGTTAAGTCTGGAATTATTTCCCATATTTATTTGGCATTTTTTTAAATTAACCAGTTAGTGTACGTTTTTTCAGTTTATAACATCCTAGGATTTATTATTATTGAAATTTCCAAGGGTGGATCTTGCCTCTGTCACACAATGGGAATTTCTTACCAAGATACATGTCGTGGAAAATTGGAAATTTAATGGTCTAATTGACTCCCGCTCGTTACACTGTTTCATCTCAGCCAAGTCCTTACATAAAAATAAATTTTAATTGAAATAATTAATATGGTGGGGCGCGGTAGTCGAGTGGTTAAGGCGTCAGGCTTTCGGCTAGTAGATCCCGCCATCGTGGGTTCGATCCCCACCATCGCCTCTGGACTTTTTTCTCGAATTGAAAGAAATTGACAAAGCACCCATCAATGGAAGGTCTGGGGCGGGATCGGATCTCAGCACCCTGAATTTGGTCTCAACCCCCTTTAGAAATGAGTTTCTTCGATGGAAGAACATTGGCACACTCGGGGCTCAATTCACACGCATGTTGCAAGCTATCAAAAAATAGAGCCAGGAATAAAGTTCAATAAGCTGTACAGCTGCAGTGCTCAGGGAAACCTCCTCCAGGGTACTATAATGATGATATAAAAGAAGTGTAAACTCAGTACCGAGATTTTTTAAAAACTATTTACTAAAGAAAATTATGTACATGATCTAATAGATATGTATATTCTTTGTTTTGTAAAATTAAGAAAAATAACAAAAAGATCTAGGACAATGAGTTATTACTACTTTCATCCGGCAATAACATAATCATAAAAAAAATTCTTTGCCTCAATTTCCTGAACTGAATAACCAAAATAGAATCTCCGAAGGCAAAAAATTTCCTCCTCTCAAAATCGTTCGAAAAATTCCAAGGTCAACCTCTCTATTGCTATTGTATTGCTGGGTCACCATTAGAATTTGAAGGAAGAGTGGTAGGTGCACTTCGGACATTGCGGTATAAAGGATAAAAAGGGTTGGTCCAAGCACACTGTCATGAGGTATTCCCATGGTCAGAGCGGTAGTAAGAGTAATCTGATCCTTATAGGACCCAAAAGAACTGTTGTCGGAGATACGAGCAGAGGATTAAAAATTTTGCATTTGGAAGGTTATCTCCTTATTAAAGCAAAATTTTCTCGTATTCGTTTATACAGGCTGAGTTAGTATATTTCATATAAGGTGTCACAAGTATAACCTCGGCCAACTCGCGGGGAAAGAAGAAGGGAGCCGGAACGGCGTTGCTCGATGAAAAACTTTCCAGGCGATGAAAAACGGCCGCCTGAGGAAAGAGGCCCGTGGCGATAAAGAGAGGTTGTATTGCATGTTTTGCCAGTTTGAGAGGAAGATTTTTTCCTTTTCGAGTTTTCTTTTTGTACAGCTTCGAGAAAAAGGAGCTCGACTCTTCGAAGGACCGCTTCATCCTGGTTAGCACCATTTCTGTTTTTACTTTTCTTAAGTTCTTTTTTACTTCACAATCATCATCACAAATGTGTAGAGATTAGTGACCGTTAATCGATGGTTATTCAGATATAGAGATTAGTGACCGTTAATCGACAGTTATTCAGATATCTGAATAACCATCATCACAAAATTGACTTAAGATTTCGAACTTTTGTTTATGCTGTTTACATCGTGGTACCGAATTTACCTTTTATTTTGGCTAAATGTTAGAAACCAAAGAATATAAATATATATATATATATTCTCTAATTTATTTTTTGTAAATAGGTTAATCGTAAAAATTCTCAAATCTCGAATATATTCCTTACACATTATTATATTATATACCGAGAGTGTTTGAATGGTTAATTTTTTAAAAACAATAAAAAATAAAACAGTTATTATTTGTAATGATAATTTTTTAAATTTTAACTTCATGAATTCCTTACAATAGGCAAACTGACAAGAAATTTCAACAATGGGTCAGGACTCCTTAAAATTTTAACAAATGGTAAAACTTTGCTTTATTTTTGTCTCTGTATGACTTGATACAGATAAAGAGTTCAAGCGAGAGTGGTTAAACGTGCAAGTAGATTTACAACTATTATGTGTTGAAGTTGAAGTTATCGACCTACGCCACAAATGATGTTACGAGTTCGATCTTCAGGAGGTCAAATGACGGATGAAATAAAAGAAATGAAGAACAGCTTCCGGGTTCACCCGAGCTTTCGGCGACTTATATCGCCATCCTCAGGAGCTAAATGTATTAAAAATTATTAATTTTATGAATTGTTTTGAATAAATTTAGGCCCTGATGATGACATATTAGTCGCCGAAAGCTCGGCTTAAACCGGAAGCTGTTCCTTGTTTCTATTATTTCATCTGTCATTTGACCTCCTGAAGATCCAAGTCGTAACATTATTACATTTATTTAATAATTGTATTTAGGCATGACGGTTAAGGGTTAAACGCGTATGGCAAAAATATAAATATATACTATGGAAAAATAAGAAAACAGACAATAGATCAGCTGGGGTTGATTAAACAAAAGTACAAATCAAAATTTTCCGTTACAAAATCTCATGGTTCATTGGGGCTTGAAAATACGCAATCTGGCTTACCTTTGTATGTAAAAATCGCCGACATGATATCTAATGAGGGTGAGTACTCCCGATCCAAGTATAGATACAAGTAGACGACTTGTCCTCTTCTCGTGACAAGTTGGGGGCTGCTTTCACGTTTTCCCATTTCGTACGCCAGGGTATCGTGAAGTTTTAAATTTATGCCAAGCCTCGGGTCAAACTTTTTAATAACAAGGTTCGGTAAGTTGGAGTTGTGCGGTATTGAACCTACGTTCTGCAAGAAGAGTAAATCAATCAAATTAATAAATTAAGCACGCTGAGACAACTTAAAACTTTGTCAGAATCCTCTTGTTACAGATTAAACAGAAATTATGTTTTTATTCCACCCTAGCAAAAGTTTGATAGAAAAGGTCGATATTTGAATTTACTTACGTCCCTATAAGGCGAATTGACTGGACTTTGTAATCGGCTCATTTTCATAAGGAATAGATCTGCATATGTATCTTGTATATGTCAAACGAAGCGAGTGATGGCAAAGTGTACGTTCATCGTGTGTAACTTGTGTTTATACTAACTGGATAACATGGTGTTACTTCTCAAGAGAAACATTTGATGTGTAGCCTATGCAGAAAATTTCAAACGGCTCTTTGTAAAAAAAAAAAATAATAAAAAATACAACATATGTTAGATAAATCGTAAAACTTTTGAGGATCAAGGAAAAATAAATAGATTGTTTTTTTAATTTGACGCTGCTTGTTTTTATTTTAACTTTTAACGCTATCAACCCTAGGAGTCATGTTTGTGATTTACTGTGCTTCAATTTAACAATAAACTATTTATTTTTGTACGATATTTCCACATGTGGTAGAAACAGCTGAAGAAAAAACTCCTTGTTTACTTTGATAGGGTTTTTGAACACAAATACAATACCAAATTTTGAGTGAAACTGATACTTTCAAATAACGGAGTACATTTAACACGGGTAAATAATTTTTCACTTTTTGTTTACACATATTTTCTGACATTCTAGAAAACAAAGTTTTTAGAAATCGTAAAAAAATAATTTTCCATTTACAAACTGCTAAAGATTCTAAATTTTTAGAACGAAAACTGTTTCTTTTAGCCACTATTCCGATTAAAGAGTATTTGTAGATACAAGAAGACACTGGAAGTGGCAGTTTTGAATATCTTTGCTTAATTTGACTGGTTTGTACCATTACTTGACGACTATTGTCTATTTTTTATAGCCAAGAATTACATTCTAATTTCCAAACGTCGCTTGTTTTGTTCTGTAAAGATTAAACAAAGAATAAAACAATGAGGGAGAAATAAAACCGCCAATCATCATGACATATGAAGAGCAAAGCGCAGATAACGCATTGCACGAGAAAACGTTTTCACTGATTAGTAAAGATGACTCATTTTTATTATGCAGTAAGTTTGATTTTATATTTTAATTATATATTATATCTTGATTAAAAAAACATCATTTTAGAAAAATGCAATAATTTAGTAATAAAATGGCTGGAAACAATCCGAGGAGCCAACGCCAATCTTTATCAACACGTTCCGGCAAAGTAAGTTATGCTCAAAGAAAATCAGTATTTGAAATGGATTCTTTATATTTTGGGATTTTCGTCTCTGTCACATAGAAAAAATGAAATGACATTTTGTTTTTAGGATGTTACGTATGCTTCGGTTGAGCATATGAGAAGGAGTCAGGCCTCAACTAGGTCGGAAATTGTACCAGAAACTGTATTGAGGATCACCAGTTGCGATGAAAAACGCGACGTGAATCATCGTCTACACAACACGTTTCTTTACGAATTAGCGAAACGAACCGAACCTTCTCACCTGGTCGTCCGAAGAGGTCAAATAATTTACTTCGGTTTGAAATTCAATCGACCTGTGGATCCGGAGAAAGATTCGCTCTCGATTATTGTCAAATACATAGGTAAATATGTACGGTCAAATTTGAGGCAAATAAAATAAATTATTTGTTTAACGTATCAAGACTGTAAAAATCCCATGGTCGGCCAATGCACGTATTCTCAAATACCTATAAGATTAGAAAACGCTAAGCTGATGAAACTTGGATCTTGGGACGCTTGGGTAAACGGAAAACTTGGAAAGGAAATGGAGTTGAGGGTAATAAGTTATTTCTCTATTATCATTTACGATTTCACTAAAACAGATTTGTTGGTTTGTCAGTGACAGCACTAACGAGTTTACCACTGTTAGACCTATTGCATACGTACTTTTATAAAGTTTTCAGGTGCTTCCCCCAGCAGACTGTATAATCGGAAGATGGTCGATAGATATCGACACGAAAGTCAGGTTTCAATCAGATCGCAGCACATACCATTTTCCTTATTTGTTGTATATGATATTCAATCCGTACTGTCCTGGTAGGTTTTTCAAATTTTCAACAGGCACACAATAATAACAGAAACTATTTTCAGACGATGAAGTTTACGTCGATTCCAAATATCTAGATGAGTATTTGCTGACTGATATCGGCTTAATTTACAAAGGCAGCCGGTCTCCAAAACCGACTCATTGGGTGTACGGACAATTTGCTAAAGACGTGATTGATTGTTGTTTTTATCTAGTAAATAATCGAGCTAAAATTTCTGTCGGGATGCGGTCCGATCCGGTTGCAGTTACCAGAGGCCTGACTGCTGTGGTAAGCTTATATTTTCTTTCAGTAATGGAGAAGGTTTAAGCAAATTTAAATTGCACGAGATAGAATGACATCTTTCGTAATAATATTCTTTATTCAATAAATAAAATTGGAGGTGTACATATTTTGTATTCATCGCCGTGGACATGATGTTTTAAGACAACCGCACCCGTCTTGCAAAGATATGTGCTTGTCCGCAAATCGATTGTTAAAATTGGGTCTTGCTAGATATGATCGTTCATCAGCTATGCGCATTTCGAGAAGTCCTGCATCGTCGACACCCAAAAGTTTATGTACCGCGAAAGCCATCCTTTCCTTGTCTTCTACGCCATGGTCTTCATCTTTCGGTTAAGGGGATTAGGAATTTTATTGAAAGTTTCACCGTAGCCTTGGTAGGTGAACGGGAAGGATGGTGCTAAGACACGTCTTAATTACTTGTATTTCATCACAACCAATTGCCTCTTTTTGGATACCCATAAAAACAGCTTCTAAGTCGACAGGCTGGATATTTGAGTAAAAGAAGCTATAAAGATCACATGGAGGTGGACTAAGGAGAAAGATAAGATTATGTGGACTGAAAGATTGTAAGATTAACACAAAGTGAGCGTTGATATGTTGTGAGCGTCACTCATCTGGTGAAGTTGAGAAAACGCGGAGGGCTTAAGGGCTTGGGGTGAGCTAAGGCAGTTTACGCTTAAGGGACTTGTGATGGGAGGTCAAGAGATGGAAAGAACGAAATCAAGCGATTTGAACCTTGGACTGAGCCTGAATATATTTTGTATGATTCTTTGGACGACCAGTGCTCTAGAGTGGTTCCGCGCAACCTCCCGTTTTCTCATCAGGTCGCGGATCTCAACATTCATGCAAGGTGCAGTTGAGTGGCTAAATGTACGGAAAATACCTTTACAACAGCCGGGTCTACAGGTACGCAACTACCCTACTCCAAACATTTTCACAGTCATTATATGATTATACATAAATTAACGGGGTGCTTGAATGAAGGTAGGCGATTTTGTTTATTGACTTTACTCATCCCACTAAAATCAGTACCGACTTACTAAGGGGTCAGAGCAAGCAGTCGTTCAAAGGCTCTTACAAGCTATTTACATGACACGGAATAACTAGAAACTAAAAAGAAATTTTAAAAGAATTCAATTCTCGGCATGAATGTGCACATGGAATTTTGGTTTTGGTACACTTCACAATGCACACCACAAATCTTCAGTTCAACGAGAGTGTTCACTGTATAAAACCATTTCAGTGTGATCAACAAATACGACGAAAATCCTCAAATATAATACAATAAACCAACGATTGATCGGGCATATCAAGAAAAAAACTTTTTGTTGTTTTGGGTCAAGTATGGATTTTTGCAATGAGACCTCTATGTAGAGCCTTCTAAATATAACCATACAACTTTCCTACAAAACTAGACTTTTGTTGTCTTGGTTCCTTTTCGCGCCTCTCTTGGTATGAGAATTGCTTCAAAAGTGGCTGTACAATTATCAATCTAGCGTTCACATTCACAACGGATGTTTGCCAAGGTCTGTGGTTTCTTTTGACAGAGTCGTCTCTGCTTTTCCCGTCGTCTTTTTTGGCTAGTTAGTTTGCCTGTCCATTTCCTTCCGTACCTCCATGCCCTAGATCCCACATTAAAATAATATTTTTGTGTTTTCCTAGGGTCATTGGGCAATTTAGAATTCTCAGTCTAGTCAAAAAGCATAAATATATATACTTTTATAGCTGTCCGACGGACAGAAAATATGTAAATGCGCTCCTTCCATATTCTTCTTTATTAACTATTTTGCACAGAGTTGGATTGTGGGTACTTAAGTTTGGATTGTTTGGACCTGCCGTTCTATTCCACATCAGTGTACCACATCAGACCCCTTCCTGATACAAGGGGGTACTTTCCTTTCTGAGATCTTAGTTATCTAAGACCTATCAAACTTGAGTTTCTTTTCATTTTGAAGGTACCGTTAAAACCATCTAATTTAAGCGAGAACTCGTTGACAGCTTCTCCTTAGATCCATCTATCTACATGTCACGCCAGTCTGAACATATGTGTATTCTCGCTTTTGTGGGACAAGTATGCATTCAAGAAAGCTAGTCTTTTTACACTTAATTTGCAATTTCTTTTGCCTCTCCTTATTCAGCGTTTTTGACTACCATTCTACAGATTTGTATACGACCAGGGGTCTGACCGTTGTGGTGTATAACAGATACACCATCCTGGGGTTTACTCCCCCCCCCTTTTTGCTTTGTAATCTCTGGCCAATACGTAGTAGTACCTTGGCTTTATGTATATAAGTATGCTGCTTATTTCTGACAGTTAAAAACTAATCTCTATATAAAACGACAAACGTGTGATGTTATTTAAAAGATTACTTTACAGACTCTTTATCTGCTAAGAGATCCAGCAATTAAAAATAAGGAAGACTTTTATTAGCAATGTTTAAGGGAAAGGGCTAGACGGTAAATTAAACCTAACTATAGAATCCATTATATTTCGTTGTCCGATTGACTAAATAACTTCTTTCAATTAATTATTCTTTATGTAAAGTATTGGTTGAGATGAAAAAGTTAGTTGGGGATTCGAATTGAAAAATGGCAAAAAGGAGGGAAAATTCGAAAGGTGGGTTGAGATGGGAAGTTAGTGTCCAAGTGGATCGAAGTCACGATAGCTCAAGTGGTACAGCAACGGCGTATTTAGCCGAACGTGGTGGGTTCGAATCCCGCTCGTGACATTAACGTTTTCATTTCAACCTATACCTTACGTAAAGACTAACTATAAGAGTTCATCAATTGGTGTGTCATCATTGCAAAGTTTAAACCTTCACTAGTTGACTACAACCAGTTTATATCCTTATTTGTATACATTTTAATTAGTTTAAATAAATTTCTGATTATTTACTGGTGTAGATTCATTCTGAATATCAACCCGGCGTTCTGATGGGTAATTGGTCCGGTGACTACTCGGACGGCGTGAGACCTCAGCTCTGGTCGGGTAGCGCGCCGATCCTGCAGAAATTTTACGAATCGCCTGAGCCAGTAAAATACGGGCAGTGCTGGGTCTACGCCGGTGTGATGACTACCGGTATGAGAGCAAATTAATTCAACCTATCAACAACGGATTTTGTATTTGTCGCTGAACTTTAGTGTGCAGATGTCTGGGAATAGCCTCAAGGGCGGTGACCTGCTACAGCTGCGGGTTCGGACCGGACGACACGGTGAGCATCGACGCCCATTATTTCGACAACCCCGAAATGGCAGGGAAAAAGAATCACAGGGCTTTCTGGTAAACTTATTTCAATTTGATCCTGTGAAACGTTTCCATTTGTCAATAATCGTTTTCAAGGAACTATCACGTATGGACGGAATGTTGGATGAAGAGGTCGGACATCGGAAAAGGGGAATATGACGGATGGCAAGTGTTGGATGCATCGCCACAATTCCCAACGTCGGGGATAATCTGCTTAGGGCCCGCGTCTGTCAATGCCATTAAACGTGGGATGTTCAGAACACCTTACGACACAGGCTTTGTTTATCACGAAGTCAACGGTGATATTCATTATTGGAAGCCTGGGACAAAAAAAGCAGCAAAAAAATTAGTAGGAACCAACAAAAGAAGGTAATTTTTTTAAATTTAAAAACAAATACTGTTTCGTCATAATTAGTTACAATTAAGTAGTAAAGTAGTAGTAAGGAATAAATTTTCACTGAAAAATAGGAGGCTTTATTCGTGCCTTGTTTAACTAACATCGTCGTAATGCTACTTTTAGACGGTAATCTCATTTGTTTTGCGAGTAAAAGCAGTATGCTATTCCTGTCTGGTGTATTCAAAACGGCAACAAAGCATCCCCCATCAGTACGCATTATAGAATGTTAACGATTGTAATGGCATTTCGCCAGAATCCCTGCGAGTCTTCAAGCCTTCTGCAGGAGGATCAATCGAATCGAGATTTATTGGTCTAGACTGCGGGAAGTCAATCCTGACTCGTTTTTCCAACCTTGCTACTGTTTACTTCGTGTTTCTAGATACGCTCAATTTGATCAACAGGGCCGTTTATTTTAATTTATGCCTATTACTGTTTCATATGTTCTTATTTTATCTACTTGCTTAATTCTTTTTATATTTAGTGGGAGATTTCAAGAATTTTCTATATTTAGTTAATTAGGAAATCACTTTTATTTCATTTTGTTTATATTTGTCATTTCATTCTTCCAAGACTATTATTTCTTCGGTCAGGTATTTAATTAGAATAATAGGGGCGTCGTTGGCCGCAACGGTTTAGGCTTTGACACGGCGCGCATCACTGTGAGGCAAAGGTCCCGGGTTCGAATTCAGCAGCTCTGCATTCGAACCCGACATACTTACAAATGGAATTTTTTTCAAAACCACCGGCACCCCGAGGGTCTCTGCTGTTGTAAACCCTCGTAAAAATAAATCTATTTGATGTGGGGCCAATTTACAAATCCGATGTGATAAATAAGACCATTATTCCCACAAATATCAGCATTTTAATTTTTTAAATTTTTTCTCTAAGGGAAAGGAAAATCCTCGAATATTTTCCTCTCTGCGATGACCCGAAAGTACTTAAAGGACCATTTTGAGTGATAAACCATAACCAGCGCAATTCGCAAAGCTGGATTGTTTCAATCTAAAGTGACTCGGTTGATTGATGTGAGGAGAAAACTCCAATCTGTGAGAGATAGGTTTTTAGCCCAACCTTCAATTACCTTCTGAGTGAAAGTATTACGGTCGGGGGGGGGGGCAATATCAAGGATTTCAGTGCACTTTTAGCAAGATTATCTGGCTCTATATCCCAATGTCCTTTATGGTTATATTTTATTTATTTTGATTTAAAATGTCTAAACTATTCAGTCCTGTGCGAAAATGTAGTTCTGCTGCAATCTGATAATAGTAAGCAATTAACAAGTTGCTCAAAATTCTCATTTATTTGGTCAAGGCTATAAAACAACTTGACAGTATCAAATCATAATAATTTTTTTTTAAATCTATTAAACAATTATTATAGGCTTTAACTACCAGGTAAGAATATTAAACTTCCAATAGTAAAATTGTCATATTTCTTCATAAAGTCGGTGGATGATGAATTTCTGTAGTTTTCCAGGTCATAATAACCAATTTAGTTGATATACTAGGGGGAAAAACTTAACTTGGGAGAATAAACACAAGTAGAAACTCTTGATACAAAACATCGACAAGACGAAAATATCATATACACAATAACGAACGTGGAGGAATAGTTAAACAGACAGGAAGAAAAATTATACAAACACATAATGTCATTTAAGAACAAAGAAGGAAATTCAAACTACTCAACCCACCTCAGATATTACTAAATGCCTTCAAACATACAAACATACTTAAAATTACAGGATGTTTGGTACAATTAACGACTCGCAGTTGCAATGCTAGCTGTACTAGGTTCATATTACATGACGTTTTAATTGATAATAATAGAAAAAACATCTTGTAATGTAGGTTTGACCCTTCGTCCGCGACATCCAACTGGATGTTTAAGCCCTGCTATATGACATGCATTACTTTATTTTTAGAAATGATGATCCTTCCTACTTTATCCATAATCATTGCCAAAAAGCAATACTGTACATTACATCTATTTTCAATGCAATATTTCGTACAATCTATTTCCCCGTCCAGTGAAAACTATAGTTAATAAATCCGATACCAAAACAACACAAATCCCCCACTGCACCACCCTCTTATAGATCAATAAGCCTCCTTCCTATTTTATCCTACATCTTTGAACGTGTCCGTAAAAGAATAATTACTATATTCGACCTGAAAACGTAATTCCTAACCATCAATTTGGGTTTCGACCTCTCCATTCTACTGTTCAGCAGTGCTTCAGAGTAGTCGACAAGATATCTTTGGCTCTAGAAAAAAAAAACAATACTGCTCAGACGTATTTCTCGACGTACGGAAGGATTTGACCCCAGCCTCCTCTATAAGTTAAAATTTATCCTCCCTCATGCCTACTATCTTATCGTGAAATCTTTCCTCTCGGAGGGATGGTTTAAAGTAAGATTCGGCACCGATTTTTCACCTATCACACCAATCCAAGCTAGCGTTCCACAAGGAGGTATCCTAGGCCCCATCCTCTACACCATCTACACTGCTGACATACCCACACATCCAAACACACAAATCACAATCTACGCGGACGAGACCGCAATCTTATCAACACACTCCAACAACACCTGAACGTTATTACCAACTGGTGCAATATCTGGCGGATCAGGTTAAACCAATAAAAAAGCCAACAACTTACGTTTACGTTCAAATGTCAAACCTGTCCACCAGTGCACATTTACGAGATAATACCATCTCACCAAGTCCGCCACCTTTAGCTTTACTTAGATAGTAGACGTACTTGGAACTCACATACACGATTAAAACGGCAAGAACTTAAGACTACTTAGACACTTACTTGGACCAAAATCAAAACTAAGCATACATAACAAACTAACCACTTACAAAACACTCATCACACCTACGGAGTCGAGCTGTGGGGCTCGGCCAAATCATCCAATATCCAACGAATTCAGTCTTTTTAATCTAAAGTTCTCCGCCGTATCCTCAATGCTCCCTTCTATGTCACCAATCAAACGATATCCAAACTCGCTTCTTCACTTTCCACTCTAAACTATCCGTCTTCCCTAACACACTAGTCCTAACTTACTGTGAGTAGGAACTATTTATTTTTTTTTAATGGATTGCTTTATTTTAGTGTATAAAGTTTTCAAATGCATTAGAAATTGTTAATAATAAAACCTATTACCACATTTCGAAAAATCTCAGCATCTCCCTATGTTATATCGCCAACCATTTTTAGAAAAATCCAAGGAAAACTCCTCCTAAAACACCTGCATCCAATCGTTGAAACCTTAATGTCGTTCCAATCGATCAATTTTTAGATGTTTTCTTAGATGGTAGGCCTTGGATTGAGTGTCGAACCCAGGCTTGCTCTGAACAGTCAAGGGCATCATTCCATTACCTCAACCGAAAATCATATATCCAGCTTTCCTTCCCATCCTTTATGACGAAGCGGGTGTCCCGCAAGGTAGCATCCTTGGTCCCATTCCTTATTCAGTATACACTGCAGACATTCCAATCAAAACTGATGTAGTACTCCTGACTTATTCAGACGGCACTGTTTTAGCAAACCTGAACCGAACGACTTCAGGAACCTTAAAGGAAAACGATTTCACTAAATAAACTCCACTATCCGCCCTATCCACTATCTCCCAATAGGATAAACTATGGTTCTCTCCAGCTGGTTCGGTCTCTTTATCCCAGTGAGGCCCGTATTTACAGGAAAGAATTTTTCAGAAATGTTATTATTTTATTTTCATTCCTTGGGATAACTGTTTTGTGTGCCAGGTTTTCCATTTAGAATCGTAGTTATCCAGACATTATGCCAATGTTTCGCCATGCTTCATTCCTGGCCCCATTCTCTTTTCAATATACATTGCAGATATATCAATACCGTTCCAGTACTCCCCACTTAGGCATAAAATACCCCCATTCTTTCAGCAAACCCAGTCAATTTAGGAGTTTCTAGTTGGGATCTAAAAGCATAGACGTAGTGCCTTTATAGTATACAAAAGTAGCTTCCATCCTCTGTAACAACTTCAACTAATTTGGACCAAATTGAACTGCGATATCCAATTGGTTCCAGCATGTAAACAATTCAGTTACTGCAGTTCAAAATCTTTCGAACCATTACCCAGGCTCACTGTTTTGCATCCAATACTATCCACTCTGACCTCCAAATCCCTTTGTCCTCAAAACCACAAAGACAAAAACACAATATGCCTTCATAAAATCTTAGACCCTCATCCCAACTCCCTAGTGCAACACCTTTCATTCCAAACCCTTCCTGACAGTCCTCGAAGAAAATCTCCGTTTCCTCCCTGATGAGGGAACCGAATAGTGCTGTAATAATCCAGTAATGGATACTACTCCACCCGTGTTAAATTAAAAACCTTCAAGTTTATAAAAAAGGACCTGCAATCACAATGACTATCTGAAAGAAATAAGATAACTTCTTCCATGAAAGACGACGACATACAACAACAAAACGAAATATTTTTTTTTTTACATTTCAAAGTGAACTTATAAAAGACACCTCACTAAACAACAAATACACTAACCAACCATTGGAGATGTCGAAAGGTCAAAACGCGCCTGTCTTTTAATACCGAGTATAGGCCAACCAAAATAATCAGAATTACCTAAGTTGATGATGCCTAACTTGATTGATTAATGTTTCATTTGAACTATGTAGAAACGAAAATTATTTTTTGAATTTTCATTACCACTATCTTCCAGCGTAGGCTGGTTCATTGGAACAAAAGGTAGGGGATCTTGGGCAATAGAAGACGTTACTAATTTGTATAAACATTCTTTTGGTATGTTAAAATTTTAGACTTATAATATTTTGTGTTTTTCTTAACTTTATATTTCTACATATTCCTTTAGAAACTGCGGAAGAGCGTGAACACAAATTCAAACAACTTGTAGCCGCACAGCAGGTCGACAACACGAGATACACGCGAAATCAAGAATTTATGGATGTCGAGTTCACCTTTTCGGTTGATCGAGAAGTGGATGTCGGCCTTCCTATTTAGTAATAATTTTATTCTTTATACGAATTCTACCAAAAATTTATTTTAAAATTTTTTAGCGCTGAATTAAAAATGAAAAACAATCATATATGGAAAACATATTTAGTCCAGGCCAAACTGGCCGTGTTTCCTGTGACCCACACTGGTGAAACAAAACAAATTTTAAGGTTTGAAAAGTTCGAAATCCCCATCGCAGCGAAAGGAGGTGAGCATTATTATTTCCTACTAAAAAATTTTTCATTTCCAATTTGTTTTTCCTTCAAAAGAGTCCACTGTCAACATAACGGTACCTTACGACGTTTATGGGACGGCAATTCAAGCAGACGGTCTGTTCAACTGTGCCTGTCAAGCGCGTATACCAGAAGTCGATTTTGACTTTTATGACGAGGAAAATATACAAATCGTACAACCGACTTTCGAAATAGAGGTAAATAGAAATCAAATCCGACTAATGTTAGATTAGAACAGGAACGTATCTAGTCCTTCTTAAGAAGCAAAAAACATTAATGTGCCACATAGGTTTTTTTCCAATTGTATCGAGGTCTCCTAGATCGTCATGTATGATCAAGATGTTATCCTTTTCATAAAAATACTACATAGTACTGCTAAAATAGCATCATCATTTTCTGTCATCTAACTGGCATCATGTTCAACGTGTAAAATTTCTTCTCAAAATCGGTCGAAAAAATCAAAAGCCAACCTGTCTCTTGCCCACGGGCCTCTCTTCTCCTCTGTCTATACCTCCTCACCACTGCTCCCTTCTCTTTTCCTTGTACTTGTTACAAACTGAAAAAACGTTTTATAAAGACATTAATGCCACTTCAAACTGTGGGTTTCTTCAAGCTTTCCTTGATCTGGACTGTTGGCTCCAGCGCATCCAATCTTTTCAATCGAAAGTACTCAGACAAATCGTTTAAACTTCTTATGCTCTCAGTTATCGCGTTTGTGACCTCCAACCATTGAAGTAACTGGTCGATAAACTACATCGCTGAATATACTGGGTTAGTAACAAAACTTCTAATATCACCTACCTTACAACGACCTTAACATTCCTTTCGTCAATCACTCCGCATCCTAAAATTACACATCAAGTTTTTGATCTATCCTATTCTCAATACACGCTTTCACATCCTGAGATGTGTATTCTGTTTCGAACGACGATGGCCTTGAGACCTCCTTGCTCCTTCATCTATCATTTCGAGTGCCAGTGGCTGGCTCTCTCAACATGTGCCCTCCGGGTGCAGTACTGGCCATTATGGACGGGAAAAAATTAGCACTATTTTATATGTACTCAAATATGTACAGACGAGAAATAAATGATTAGGTTTTAACATAATGAAGAGGTCTATTCATTAAGTTAAGTTATCAGTCAAAACTAGCTTTCTTCTGATGTATAACGCAATTTACAGGTCCCTGTCGCAATAGTCAACGAACCGGTAACAGGCGTTGCTGAATTTTTAAATCCGTTGAACATCCCCTTGACAAACGGTCTTATTTATATTCAAGGGCACTTCTTCAAGGAGGTCCAGAAAATAAACATTGGACTGTGAGCATTCGAAACATATCTATATTCAGACATCCTGAAACATATCACGTATATTTTTCCAGCGTCCCGCCCAAACAGAAAATCACGATAACATTCCAGCTGACAGCACTGACGGCAGGAGAATTCAGCATTGCTGCCAAGTTCATTTCCGATCAGCTCGAAGAGGTCGAAGGTTTCGCCAGGGTAATCGCTAGGAACAGACGCAACTCAGAAGTTTCAGTTCCCAAAATTAGGTAAAAAATTTGAATAGAGGAGACGAAATACCACCTGAGGTGAGAAGAAAATTCAGCAAATTTTTTTTCAAATATATTATTCCAACAATTATTTTTAAGTGAGGCGTACACGAAGACAAAAATCACATATTGAATTTTAAACAAGTTTAGAAGCTGTTGGTTTTCATTACGTAAAACAATGTTAAAATACTTTTCAATATTGTTACTAAAAAAAAGTAAAAAATAAAATAACCGGAGTAGCATAATAGCATATAAAATATTAAAAATGTAATAATTAAAATAAAATGTTTATGCAAAAATAATATAGATGCGTTAAATATTGTATCACATATGAGTTTTCTACTTAACATGAATGTATTGTGTAGGTTTTGAGAGGGCTGAATATATTTCGTAGGTTGGGAAAGTTTGTGAAAATACTGTTGAGCGAATAAGCGTGTTTTTTCCACTTCTATTCAATGGATTTTATATGTGACAGTATCAATCAGTATATTCTGCTGAAGCACCAAACCATAAAATTTTATCGCATTTCCCCAATTTTGCAATATCGTTGATTTAGTTTTTCAGCCTGTCTAAAACGATGACATTTGTCGGTAATATTTGCTCAAAATCTATTGATTATAACCAATTTACTTTTTTAATATGCTACAAAATCCATAGCTTGAATAAAAAAAAGTGAATCGTTAATTTTGGAACAACCTAAATTTGCAAGTCATTTTATACTTTTTTTAAAACAAAATATGTACTTTTCTCCTGGATGCTTTCTTAAACATTTAAACGCTAAGATTGTTTCTTTATCATTGCTCTACAAAATAAAATATAGTCGCTTCATTATGGAGAAAGGCTTTGGAGAAAATTGTTAAAATACAACTTTTCAGGAGAAGCGATTTTACGATCATACTCGAATTTTTCCCGTTGCCGCCAAATTTAAGCCATAAAACTATTTCCTCCTTTTTACTAAGAAAATGATTTTTAACACAAAACATACATAAAAGGCGAATTGAAAATTCATGGCCAAGATACACTAAAAAAACTTGATTCTCTTCATTCAAAAAATTATTTTGTTTAAAATTATTGAAGTTAGGAATTTCAGTGAACAAATTGAACAAAACAAACAACGATGCTTATTTAATATAATACACTATTTGCATTTTTGGATCAAGAAAATTGTTCCTAATAAGGAATGAGCCCCTGCTTAAACAGTGGCTCCATTCTCATTGGCTACTGTTTGGAAGTAAAGCATTGTGGAAGTGATGATGACTGCAATGGGTCTAATGGAAGTTTTTGTTAGTCCAACTAGTCACAGTCGTATATTGACTCCCGTATACTCCTACAGACTTATCAGCATTGTACCTGTAATGTCAAAATTCATGAAAGCCTCCTTTTAAAACACCTAAACCCATCGTAAATTTATATAAAATCATTCCATCTCATTAACCCTACTGCGGCCTAGCAGCCAGCCACAAAATAGGATACATCTTAAAATGGATCCTTAATGAGTTCAAAACCTGGTGGAACAATATCGCAGGCATGAGGCACGCGAAGCGATTCGTAGAAGAACCATCCGCAGAACTTAAAAATGAACTACTGGAAGGTATCCGCAACCGAACCAGGATTCTGGTTGGACTCCTGACATGAAACTGCCACTTAGGAAAGCACATGCACCGGATAGGAGTACAGACAGAAGAAATACTGTGTAGATACTGCCAGGAAGAGGAGGAGACCGCAGAACACATTTTATGTTTCTGTGATGGTCTATGTAGGTGCAGGTTCTTGCAACAAGGACAAAAAAAACCACAAACAAGATCCTAACCAAGGAACCGCTGGCAAAGCTGTGGAGGCTGGTTAATAACCTGAAAGACGAGGATCAATTCCGGTCGAGGTGCAGTAAGCTTGTGGCCGCTACTTTTATCCCTATACCTATCTATCTCATTAATTAGGTTTTTCTTTCGTTATTCCACGACAGTGTTTAGGGGTTTTTGACACTATTTCCTCCGCTTTAGAGAATAGAATACGGCTCGGGTGTGTAAACATGTACCATTTTGACAGAGTGTGGAACATCCGTTAAATCTTTACTATCCACTCTTTATTCCTTATCCCTGAATCGTATTTACCAGATCATTGTATCAGAGACAAGTATTCAGGTGTCACGCAAGCCATCCTATATTCTATTTACACTCCATTACAGTTCGTGGTCCGATATACCAATTAACATTTTTCAATTAATTAATATTTATGAAAGGTATTGGTTAAGACAAAAAAGTCAGTGTCACGAGGGGGATGGGAACCCACGACCTTCGGCTAAATACGCTGCTACTCTACGACTTGAGATATCGTGACCTCGATCCGCTCGGACACTAACTTCCCATCTCAATCTCACCGCTCGTGACACTGACTTTTTTATCTTTTTCTTTCATAAATATTACTCTATTTATACTGTCGACCTGCGGATACATACCATCCTTACACCATGGAACGATACTACAATTTTATCTCCTAACTGTCATCCTACCACTACCTTCAATGTCCAGGAGCATCTTGTAAATGTGAAAATGAAACATAAATAGGGCAAATACATCCAAATTACGTTCACATTAAATAAACATCCCTGTTCAAGTCTACGTTTACGGGAAGAAACTACCGACATCTACAAGTTGAATACTTTGGCTGTACTTGGAATGTTGAGTGGAATTCGTGTATAAAACCCAAGCAACAAAGTGTAAACGAACTTCTTAGACAAGTCTCCAACTTTTTGTTTCGAAATCAGACATGACTCTTTAGAACAAGCTAATACTGTATAAAACACTTCGACGTATTTGGACGTAGAGGAGCTGGGGAGTGCCACTAACCCATCAGATATCGAACTAACCCAAGAAGTCTACAACTCAAGAATCAACTCAAGGGCGGATCAAAGTTGGTCATTGGCGGGAGGGGGGTGTAAAACATTTCGGTTTTTTTAAGGCACAGATTACCGTGATACGTGGTAAAACGTGCCAATCGAGAGAAAACTTTACACATAGATTTTCCCCCCAACGCAATACTTTTACTTCTTCTTCTTCAAAGAGAAAAACTGAAAAAGTATAACTAGATTTAAAAGTTTCAATACTTTAATTTCAAAACGTAACATATTTTTCATATACTTCAAAATGTTTTTCCGTAATGTTTTTAATCCCCATCATTAATGAATATAAAAAATTAAGAACCAACTTAGAGGTTATCACATCGAGAGATCGAATAAGAAGATTAGAGGCAGAAATCAGGATCTCAGAAGGACATGTCTAATCACGAAAAAATCAGAGTCCGCAATGTAATTTTTTAGTACAAAACATAAACGAACCAAAAAACCTCACGGCAGTAAGGAGTGAGAGGTAGATTTCTTTCTTTTGCGGAATCAATCCAGCTGTCTAAAAATTTGCTACTTTAAAAATTATTACATAATTTGAAAACCATGGGTTTATATAATTATTCATTTTTTACAAAACCTAACTACATAAGCATATTGCAATAAAATAAAAAATTAATTAGCTGAGCTTAAAAGTTACAGGAAGCATCCAGCTTAAAATTGGACCAAAAATATGAAAATCCAATAATGAGGGGCATAGCTAGGAGGGAGTTAAGTTAAATAAACCGAGCACGTTGTTGTACGGGAGAAAACGCAAAAATGGCAAACATTTTTATTGAATTTCTTACTTTCATAGTCTATAATTCTGCGAACACCAGATGATTTGGCTGAGAAACAATCCTAACCGTACTTATAGGATTCTTTACCTGCCTGCCAAATTTCATTCCAATGTGATCAAAAATGCGGCCGCTAGAGAGCGCTAGATTTTTGAAAGAAATCTACCTAAAATTAAACATCAAATTACACTTTTCTTGATATCAAATCGAGTGATAGAAGTATTGAACCGGGAGACAAAAAAGCCATAGAACGTTAAATTAAGAGGAAACTAATTTAGGGAAGGTTTATCAGAGGTAACAGATTTGTATAGTCCTGAAATATAACCTCGTCTCTTAATTAAGGCTAAACTAAGACATATTACATATAACACATAACATCTTCACTTAGCTCCAGAAGGGGGATTAATTCTTCTTTTACACCCTCTCCCTCCTTGTATCCGCCACTGAATCAATTCGTCAGAAGTTCTCCAATCTTTTTATTACGTCTGAAACCTGAGAACTCACATAACCTTAACCATCCATTTGTTACGAATTGATCCGTTCCTCTTTCCTTAAGTTTCAACCCATCCTAACCCTACTGCTCAAGCCCTCTACTCTGCAACTCATCCAAAAACCTTTCACATCTCTTCAAACGACGATGGCTTAGAACCTCATCAAACCTGGTCTCTTATCGTACGTGTCCTCCGGGTACACCGTTGGACAAAGTATTACTTTGCGACCAGGTTATTTGTAATGTGTACATCCGTGTACAGTATAAACAAATGCCGAGGTGATGATCCAGTAGCATATTCCTTCTCCGAAAGAGAACACTATCCGTACGTCATATGAGTTTGGGTATTTCATCATTTCTAGTGGTTAGTATGGTATGGTATGGTAAAAAAGACATTAGGAAGCGGGGTTTGCGCTCTCCAGGCACTGCAGCCTTTTGGCTTATCTTCGTAGTTTCTTAGTTCAGTGCAATAGACTCAATCCTTCTCCTTCCTGCCGGACTGCCGATGCTGTAATTTGATGCCCTAAGTTTTTTCTGTACGTTAGGTTAAATCTCCATTGAGTTGTTGTTTTGCATTCGAAGATGATATGGGTGGCTGTTTCCTCCTCCTCAGTACATAATCTGCTAATGGGATCATCGTTTTATATACCCATGTTGTGTAGATGTCTTCTCAGATGCCAGTGGCCGGTTGGTAGTCCTCTGAATTTGGCCCTCTCCAATTGCATCAATGATTTTGCCAATCTTGGTGAGGGTTATTTCATCATAAGTTTACTATGTCTAGCACCGCTAGAGTTTATCCACTTCTCCTTTTGTTTTGTTTGGATCCATTCTGCGATGGAGGACTCTATATTTGTTTTTGTTATCTTAAGTGTAGGTTTGGGGCCTATGCAAGGTCTTGCAGATCTTCCTCTGGCCAGACTGTCTGCTTTATCCTTACCCAAAATTCCCCTGTGCCCTGGCACCCAAGACATCATCAGGTTGTTGCGTTTCCCCAGGTTTTGGAGATTTTGGATGCATTCACTGACTAGTTTTGATGTGATTCTTTTACATGCTAATGCTTTAATGGCCGCTTGGCTATCAGATCTTATGAGGATTTTTTTTGCCAGTATACCTCTTTGAAGAATTTTCAGGGCACAAGCATTG